ATCTGACTTTAATCTGATTTTAATGAACAAAAGGACCAGGGGAGACATGATAGACATCTTCCAATATTTGAGGGCATGGGGTTGGACTAGATGACCTACCAGTTCCCTTCCAACTCTGTTAATCTGACTTTAATCTGATTTTAATGAACAAAAGGACCAGGGGAGACATGATAGACATCTTCCAATATTTGAGGGCATGGGGTTGGACTAGATGACCTACCAGTTCCCTTCCAACTCTATTAATCTGACTTTAATCTGATTTTAATGAACAAAAGGACCAGGGGAGACATGATAGACATCTTCCAATATTTGAGGGTAGGGGGTTGGACTAGATGACCTACAAGGTCCCTTCCAACTCTGTTATTCTATATTCAGTGGAACAGAAGTTGCCTTTAGAAGTTGTGAGAGAGAATCCCAATGGATGAAAATGTGATTTAAAAAATATTAGTATGTGCAGAAATGGATAGGCGAACACTTATAATTAAGGAAAAGAAAGAAATCGAAAACTTTTTGACTTGGGACCTGTTTTATCCATGGCTAGCTGATAAAAACAGGAGCTAGAAACAGGGAAATATAGGGTAAGGATCAGAGATATAAAGAAGGTATGTTGAATAATAATATTAATATTAAGCAAATAATAATATTATTACTAACACTGCTATAATTAATATTGATGTAAGGAATACCATTGTAAATATTCTGATTATTATTTCCTAAAACTACTATTTGTACCCAGACAACCTACTGTTCAATTGAAAATTGAATTTTTATATGTTATAAAATAAAACCTTTGAAGAAAAAAAAAAGAGGAAGTTGTGGGAGCTTCATCCCTGGAAGCTTTCAAGAAGAGACCGGGCTGCCATCGGTCAGAATGGCAGAAATTTCCTGCTTGGGCAGGGGGGGTTGTACTAGATGACCTCCAAGGTCCCTTTCAATTCTGTTATTCTATATTAAGAGGAACAGATTGCCTTTTGGTGGAAGTTGTGGGAATTTCATCCCTGGAAACTTTCAAGAAGAGACCAGACTGCCATTGGTCAGAAATGACATACACTCTCCTGCTTGGGGGTGGGTGGGGGTGGGGGTTGGACTAGATGACCTACAAGGTCCCTTCCA